AGAGCATTTGTTCTATCCCGCAATAGAAATCTGGTATCAAACTTGACAGTCATCGTTCTCTTAGTTAAGGGGTAGCATTTATTCATTTTCTTAAGTCAAATGCAACCAAAAAAATCTAATAACTTTCATAACATGAAGAACAGAAACCTGGCGTCGATTAAAGCACTCTGGTAAACAGCATTTTCACACCTCGACTCGCTCAAACATTTGGGTTGGATTTTCAAATGTCATAATCAGAAGTTGCTAAATCGCTGAAATGAAAAGTGACAATGAGACGACACGTAGCTGGAGGGGTGCCTCTCAGCTGTAGGTGAGTGTGATTCTCAAGTCAAATCCTGTCACTTGAGAAACAGATTTGGAGGAAAATGTGTTTTTGAAGCAGACAGTGACTGATGGGCTGAGAGAACATGCTCTGCTCCAGGTAAAAGATAAAGCACAGTATTTTAATGGTGTTTGAATGCTCATAACTTTATTATTAAAATGAGTCTAAAGGTGCACTTTGGAAATTTTCTGGTGGGGGATCCGCCATCTACGTGTTTCCATGGAGATGTTATTGCTTGGCCTAGGATGTTGCATAATATGGAATGAAACATATCTTTTGTGTGAGGGCATAATACGTGCATTTTCTGATGATTTCCTGATCAAACACTTCCTCAAACTCTCTTAACTTCTTCTCTTCTCCACGACTGTTGCTTTTCCCCCACATCTCCACACTCTGCAGAGAGCGTGCCGTAGAGATAAGCAAAGCGCTGCGTTTAGGTGGCGTTTTATAAATCCCGTGGTTGGTTGTAAACAAGTTTTATAAATGAGACCCCTGATCTATTGAGAGACCAGTCCCCTCACAGTAAGAATGCATGTTGTTTCAAGGTATTTAAATGTACTGTGACTGAATAAAGGCATGACAGAAAAGATTAATGACATACGTGGAATATTTCAGTTAAAGCAGTAACATGTCAGTGGAGACAGACAGTTGGTAGACACCCAGATACATATTGCACTTGTCACAAAATAGTAAAAAGCATACGACAAACTTCAAGATTTAACCATTTCATTTCAATTGTGAACAGTATATGAATAGTCCAGTTTTTGTTTTTAACATCTTCATTGTATTATTCATTAGTCTCACTTTTATCTATTTTTTTGCTTTCAAATCAGGAGCAACTATTTATACATATGTTGCTGAACTTTTTGTAAATAGTATCTGAACAAGACAACTTACATGATAAAATTATTGCTTTTACTGATCTTTAATTAAACCTACACTGTATACTGTTTTCCTTTCCAATTTTATTAAAATGTTAATCACAATCAAAACTTTAATACATCAGAGACTTGAAATGTACCATATTTTCCGGGCTATTAGGCGTGCTCTTAAGCCTCCAACCCCATCAAAAAACCTCAGAAAACCACAATCCAGAGCGCCCTATACACGAATCCACTCGGGTATCCCAGCACGACTTCAGTAAACTACAAAGTCGCACCACCTGCAGAACACGCAAACACACACACAGGAGACAGCGACCGCACAGCGAAACAAACCCGCAGTCACACTCATCACTCCAAACCAACCAGGAACAGAACAGAGGAACGAACTGAAAAAGCGAGTGCAATGTGCCACTTCTAGACACAACTGAACAACTGAGTTACTACGAACACACCAAACAATCCAGCTGTCCCAAACAGTCCCCTCCGAACACGCCACATCTGAACAAAGCTCAAAGTCACCGTGAACGCACCAAACAAAGTCCCACTGACCCATCCAACTGTTGTGTTTTGTTTAAAGTCCACTGGGGTTTATTTGTGAAAAAGGTTCAAAAATAGACCATTTAATGACGCGCCTTATAATCCAGAGCGCCTAATAGTGCGGAAAATACGGTAAATCTTAAAATCAGACAAGAAAAACTGCAGTCTAACTCCACTGATGCCCTGTCCCTCTGTATAGTCCAAGCAGCAGTTGCACCGTACACTATAGTATTTCATCACAAGACATTTGTGAACAGCTCGGCCCAGTTCCATCCCTCACCCCTCCGTCTCAGGTGCATTTCCCAAGTTCTGCCCCCCTCCACAAACTGTCCCGCCACTGATCTACGCTATGCTGGCATGGAAACTGCTGACTCACAGGCATAAAGACAACAGCATAGTGAGCGCAATGGGCGAACAGGAAGTAAAGGGATGCTGCATATATTTTAGATGCTTAAATGGCAAATATTATGCTATTTTCTGATCTCTGTTATAATGTTTCCTCATCACAAACATGCTTGGAGTTTTGTTTTGTTTCATTCACACGTTTAACACACAAATCCTGCATATTTAGGCTGAGCTCTACTCTCAAACAGAAAAAAACTCCACCTTGTGTTGTCATGCGGTAGTAGAGTAAGTGCTCCATTGTGTTTTAAACTCCATACAGAATCCTTCGCTAGGCTCATTTGGATAATTTCATCCCTGGAATTGTGTGTTAAACGTGTGAATGAAACAAAACACAACTCCAGGTATGTTTTTGAGGATGTAACAACATTTTAACATCGCTTCAAGCTCATAAGAATCCATTTTGCGTAATACAGGACCTTTAAACGCTCTCTCCCTTCACATCAGAAGCTCAGACTCACTAAACACCTTCAAAAACAGCTCAAAACTCACCTTTGCCATGTAGTCTACAACTCCCACAAATGATCGCTTCCTCACTACATGTTTTGTCTGTCCTTGTTTTGCGTTTCACTATTATGATGAATCTGAGTTACAGTGAAAAGCGCTATACAAAACGGATGTATTATTATTAAATAGTAGTCTAAATAGTCATTTTGTGCATTTCCTTCAGTTTCATTACTCATACACAGTCGATTTCATGACAAAAATCACTAATAGTATAATCAAATAACCTAATTATTAGATCTGATTATTGCAGTGTGTTTACATGGCCCATCTGATCCTTAAAAATACATCTGGGTTTTTAGAGTAATTGTATTTGGAAGATAAAGATTCATTTGAAAATAACTCTTTCAACCTACCTCTCCTTTATTTTCCTTTTTAATACCTGTCACAACTGTTTACATGACATTTCAATAATCTGATAAGTCCGATAATGATAAGATTTGCAGGTAATCAGAGTCACTCATGCTGCAAATACTGGTTTCAAAATATTAATGTTGTAAACAAGAAGGAATTTGAAACACTTGAAAATCAGAATCTCTCATGTCTGAATAATCTTTTCAGATTTTTGTGCATGTGCATAGATATAATTTTATATTTTTAAATGTTGTCTGCCTTATGCTACTATACTACTATATTACTCTGTTTTCTGATCTATGTTATAATGTTTCCTTATCAAAAATATACTCGGGAGTTTTGTTTTGTTTCATTCACACATGTTTAACACACAAATCCTGCATATTTAGGGTGGCTTCTTCTGTCAAACGGAAAAAAAAGAAAACTCTGTTTCGCCTTGTGATGTCGTGGTAATACAGGAAGTGCTCCACTGTGTTTTTAAACTCCAAACACATTCAATCATTTGGATAATTTCAGCTCTGGAATTGCCAATCTCTACTGAATAAAAGGTAAATGGTAGCTATTAACTTGACAACTACCCTTTCATGACATCACAAGGTGGAGCAGAGCATTTTGAGCTTTGGAGATGTAGACAGACTAATAATAAAGGGTGACTCAAACGTGATAATGTTTCATGTGTTAATGAAGCAACTCCAGGTATGTTTTTGATGAGGTAACAACATTCTAACACGGCGTAAAGCTCACAAGAGTCAACTTGGTGTAATGTAGGACCTTTAACACAAGTAAAGTCTGGTACTTGGTGCTGTTGAAAGATTGCCTCTTTTACTTCAGCCTAAGTAATAGTATTTAGAAGTGGCACTGAATATTTCAAGCAGCAACTCATTGAACCTATTTTCAACTACTTTAGTGCTACTTAAGGTTTTTAGCTGCCTCACTCTCTCCGTGTGGTCAGAGAGTGTCTAGTCTCTGTGGCCAACTCCACTGATGCGCGAAGGATTTATTCTCAACTATAATCCACTAAAAAAATCAATGTTTATCTCTGAAGAATTACTTTCTTCAGCACATGTACTGACCAGCTGTAACAGACACATATAACACAAGACAAGTCTCCAAAGTAGAGATAGACCGATATATTGGGACAATATTTGGACTTTTTAGCTTATCAGTTGTTAAACTTAAATCTCCAGCACAGGTTGATATTTTGTTTTGTTGTTTTGCCTAACAAATACACACAAAGCTGTATTTTAAGATTTTAGTACAAATATATATCTGTACAAATTGAGAATACACAGCTTTCTCAAAGGTTTGTGGTAAAAAGGGCTGTGGATGAGTTAGTAATACATTTAAATAGCACAATTTGAGGAAAATGATCAAAATCTGCCCTACTTATCGGCCCAAAAATATCTGCAGACCTTATCGGCCATTGATTTCTCTGGATTCTAAACATTTGTAACCTCATCGGCAATGAAAAAAAACATATCCGTGGATATCTACTCCTATGCTCCCTTTACTTTGGCTGAACCAAGAGCTAATGCAGTGAAGGTCACTTTTATACACAGATCCATTTCTCACTGGAATAAACTGCCTCTGGAAATTATGTTTATACACAATCATTTTAAAAAACATCTCAAGATATCAATGTTTACCAAGCACTGTGATTAACTTATGTGTGTTTTCTGTCTATTTCTCTTATGACAGAAGTTGCTGTTACGTAGTGATTGTTAATGTGATTTACTACATGCTTTTATTATGGGAGTCTAATGGGGATCCTTAAAGGTGCACTGTGCAAGTTTTCTGGTGGAGGGTCCGCCCACCTACTTTTCAGTGGACGATGTACATACTATTAAGGTAAAAAGATGTTACTGCTTTGCCTGGATTGTTCCATGGTATGACATGGCGGACCCTCCTCTAGAAATACTACAGAGTGCACCTTTAAACGTAGAAAGAAATATGACCTTTCCAAAGCAGAGACAGTGGGGACGTGTATGTATTCTTACCTTTGTTGTTGTAGACATCTAAGTAGTTGGGTGCGGAGAATATGGTGATAAGCGAAGGAAAGCCAGTGGTCTGACTCTTTCTGTACATGCGATATCTGTTCAAACAAAAACATACAGACATGTTAGAAATAAGATATCAACAGGTCATATTATGATATTTATTTTTTGGTTATAATGCTGTTTTCTTTCTAAAACATACCTGGAGTTGTGTTTTGTTTCATTTAGCACATTTTGAGTCAACTCAAAATGCTCTGTTCCACCTTGTGATGTCATGTAGTGGTAGTTTCCAAAATAACAGCAACTTTTTACCTTTTATTTAGTAGAGATTGGCAAGCCCAGGGCATTTCAAGTGAAGGTTTACGGAGTATAGTTATGCTTTATTTCAATCTCTTGCTAGATTTTATTATTAACATTTATATTTTTTCTCTTTGTTATTATTATGTATTGTGATATGTGAGCTACTGTGTCCAAATGTAAGTCTAAGTCCTTAATTACCACATGATTTACTACGTGAACAGTGTGTCCTGTTTGAGAGAAGATCTCAGTGTAAATATGCAGGAATTGTGTGTTAAACATGTGTGAATAAAAACTAAAAAAAACTCCAAGTCTGTTTTTCTGATGAAGAACATTCTAATCAGATCAGAAAATAACGTAATATGTAGGGCTGAGTATCATCAAGAAGTTGCTGATACGATACATATCTCGATACAGAGCGCTTTCGGCTCGACATGATATATTTCAAAACGATTCAATACAGTTCATTAAAAAATAATGGCTAAATCATGCCTGTGATACTAAAAAAGTCTTTGTTAAACCATATCTTGTGCAAAGTTAATATGAAATACACCCATTTTAATCCTCAAAACAGTGAAAATGTCAAATGTGTCGCATATACGAGTGTCCTTCCTCTTAACAAACAACAAAACTGTAGCTGTAACAATATAATTTAGTAAAATATACCAAAAAATACTCTTAGCGATATATCGATACAGCAACCTACAATATTGATACTGTATCACATCATCACATTAAACGATAAGATATATGAATATTTTTGCACACCCCTAGTAATATGGGTCCTTTAACTATTAACAGTTGATACTGTGAGAACCAAAACATTTGTCAGCTTACTATAGCTACACTTGAAACATAAACAGCTAATGTTAATTTAGAAGAAGTGAAACCCCCCTGATGCTAGCCCCTTAGCAGAGTGACCGGCAACTCCCTGGTTACAACACAATACCTGGAGCTGGCATGCCCCCACTAAACCCACCGGGATATGATTAGCGTTAGTTATTAGCCTTATTTTCACAACCTGCACATGCACGTGGGAACAGTCGTCTGGCCCCTGGTGGGTGAATCCCCATGTTTTGGTGGTGCTTGCTTTGAGGTAGTCCCCATAAGTCACTGTCTTGTTTATTATGGGCGATAGCATGGGGCTGTGTGTCACCAAAATGGATGACCGCACACAAGTGACAACCAGCAAGATTTATGTGTGTACCTAGGCTTTCAGAAAGTTTCACAAGATAAATAAAAATGGCACTGCAGGGGCTGAAAGATGAATTGGAAAAGAATTGAAATGGGGATTTTTGGATAGTTAGAAAAAGCTGATCTAAAAGGTAAAGGTATCTAAAGTAATATAATGAACAATTAACTAAACATACATACATATTATAGAGACATTAAATATTATTTGGTATTTAACAGTTTATTTAAAAGTACATTGTGTAACTTTTCTGGTGGAGTGTCAATCAGATGCTTTTCTCCATGAAGATGTTATTGCTGGAATGTTTCACAGTATGGTATTAAACTTTTATCGTCATGGAGACCAAACCAGGCTAAGTTACAGGTCAGATCTGTGGAGAGGCAACCCCGCTCACAGTCAGAATGTCCACCTGTAATTGAATAAATGTAAGGTAGATTTGTTTAATGTCATACTGTAGAACATTCCAGGCAGAGCAATGGCATATACATGGAAAAGAGCAGGTGACGAAACCCCAAGCAGTTACAAAGTGCACCTTTCATAATTCTTCTCTCTATTTTTTTTTTTAATAAATGGGGGTTTTTAGAAAAAGAAAATCTTTAAGAAAAAGCAAATCTAAAAAGGCTGCTATTATTGAGGTAATATAATGAACACAATATCACTAACCTTGCAAATAAGCCCTCAATAAAAAATTTTGAAATGCATGCGATTCCTTTTAAACCGTAATAATATCTTTTTTTTTTCTCAAGTGTTTAGACCTTGGTTTAAAATGTGCTTGATTCTTCATTTTCATTGCAAATGCAATAGATTGCAACATGGATATATTTCTAAAAGCTCTCAGTTTATAAGTGATGTGATTAAATGTTGTTGAAAGATGACCTGGGACAGTGGTTCCATCGGGGGTGAGGAGAGGGGTCCCATGTGACTGCCCTGTGGGAGTAGGGTGGTAAACAACATTGTATTGTGCTCTCCCACCAACTCAACCTGAGCTTACAAGAGATAAGCCTGCCTCTCCCACCCACTTGTATAACCTAAGCTTGTTATACAAACATTACATGCATTGATAATCATAAATTGTAGTGAAATCAACTGTTAGACAATGGCAATGGCATTTCCAACCCAGTGGAATTTTTTTTCCCCTATCTTTTACCAAATGTGGTTAAAGTTTATTCTTATTGTCAACATCATTTTATTTCTTGGTATAACACGACTTTTCCTCAAAGTTCAAATTGCAGCGGGCTGGCGGGGAAGCTTTTTATTTCATACCTTTGCTTTGAATCACCGGGCCATGTGACAGACAGTGTAATGGGAGAGAGAGAGAGAGAGAGAGAGAAACGAAAAAAATAAAATATAAAAATGCCAAAATGTCACCATACTCACCCTGCATCCTGTGCTTCATGAGCCCGGATGATAGATAATAAGTTATTGTGTTGTAGAAAGTCACAGACCGCGGGGTAGCTGTGGAAATAACAGAAAAGCATTAGGTTTAGCCACACATCAAGAGAAATTGCAGTCAGATCATGAAGGCCGATCAATAGAAATAAGTAAATAAGTCGTGCGCGAATCGATTTTGCCCAGAAAAGAGAGAGAAGGGGAGAGAAAGAGTGGCTACGCAAAGCTCACTTAAGGCTAAAAAAGAAAATGCGTCATAAAAAAGGTGCTCTGGGGCTGGATTTCTGTGTAAAATGACAATAATGGCAGAATCACTTTAAGAACACTGTATTATAGCTGCAAAGCCTGGTTATACTTTTGAATCAATCTCACAGAAATGATTTATAGCTGAATATAGGTTTGAAAAGAGAAGGAAAAGTTTGACACAGAACAAAGTAAAAGAAGAAGTAAAAGAAGAAGGTTTTACACAGAGATATGATATGAATATATAAAATTTATGTTTGAATTATACTTCTACTCAAAAAAGTGTGTATTTTTTAGAGCAGTAAAAATTAGGCTGTGGTCTCAAAAGCTTTGTACTTTTCACTTTGTCTTGTATTCAAAATAAATACTAGCTGTATGTAGAAGTATCAAAGTGGGAGTAGTACAAAATGCATAAGAAGTAGTAGTGGTAGAAATGGTATTGGTATTACTAGGTTTAGAAATATACTAGTACTTGAGTAACATTCTTTCAAATGATGAGTTAATTTATAGTTTGAGTATTGTATTTGAGTTTACTTCCATCCACAAGCCAAACCAACCACCAATAAAACGACATCAGTGTTTCACAATTTTCCATTCCATAACCTTCATTTTGCTCTGGCGTTTACTGGAAAATTTTCAACAAAATCTGCCAAACTTTGAAGTCAACGATCCTTTCACAAACACTAAAATACCAAACTCAAATGCGCAGTTGGAATAGCCAAAGTGAAAAACATAATTAAATCTAAAGTGGATTCATGTGGAGCTGTGCAATAGAGTTGAATGACAATGAGAGAATGAATGGCAGAGATTGTTGGACTGCATAAGAAATGTTCACAGAATGTGGGATGAATTCAAAATATTGAAAGCTGTATTTTTTAATTCACAAATCAGTAAAAAAGTACAGCGCAGGCAAAGCAATAATATTACAAATCCCCAATGCCTGCAAAAGGTTGGGGGACACCCAACAGTACAACTTAAACACATGAAAATTAGTTAAAAGATGTTAAAATGATCTTCCATGTGAATCTTTAGGAGTAGAAGTGGCATGTTACAGACACAGTGGCCCTTTAGAAGGAAAACCATGGTAGATGTTTTTTTACTTGGCTGACTGCAGCAGATGCACTCATGAGCCATATGGAGCATTTCACTCAGCAAAATACATTTCGGTCTGGTTTATTTTTTGGTAGTTTTGACTTTGGAGGCATTCACCATCTGCTCAGCTGCCGTATACAGATGTGAATGAATCCAGAGAAGAATGTGAACAAAAAATGTTATTTAGTGTTTTTCTACATCAATACCATTTGGCAGATCTATTCTGTTTTAGAGACAACAGTGCCTGACTCTGTCTGCTCTTGGTCCATTTGCAGTGTTGGATAATTTTTTATTTCTTTTTTAATTTATTAATAACACTAACACATTGATTCAAGGGAAAGGCTTGCGATTAGCTCTGGAGCTCTGGGGTCCGGACGAAATAGACTCCATTGGAAAGAATCCTGAGTGCCACACCACCTCCACCAGCTCCACTGGACAGTGCATGCCGTGCGGGCTGAGCACCTCTTTAATGTTGAATTATTCAGAACTGTGTACAGTCTGAGCCCGGGCTAAGCCTTGTACACAGGAAACTGCCATCATGTACCACACCTACTCAGTCTCCCCTAAACCAGCACAACGAGCTTTCCCCTCACTGACCTGTGTGTTAGCATGTTGTAAACCATGAAGCTCCTCTGTGTTTTTAAAGTCAATTAAAAGATTCCAGAGATTCTCATTTTGACGAATATTTATTTTTTTAATTTTATTTCATACAACGCAAACCACTTTTTCAATTAACCATTACATGCATCTATCTGCAGGAGCTTTGCAAAGACAAATTTCAAACTCAGTCTTTGAGGTATTTCCAAGACATTCAATACTTAAGGTTTTACTACAGGAAATACCAAGGTACCAGTCTTGATAAAAATGTAGGTTTAAACAATAAGATTTGACATACTATTAAGGTAAAAATAAACACCATGTTTTTGCTTGTTGAAAATATTTAGTCTTGTTGATTTGTTTTCCAGCAGACCAAACCCAACGTGATCATTTGAAAACTGCACTATTTCATGCTCGAGTTGAGTTTGTTAAAGTGTTATGAGCACAGCTACAGTGTCAGAAGGAAATAATTGGTCTTTGCAAGACACAAGCAACCAACAGACAGAGTTTAAAGGGAGGGGTCTTGAGCAGTGGCCCTGGTTTAAACTGTCATAAAACATCCGTGCCGGTGTGATGCCAATTAGCCACTGTGTCCTGGACAGATGAAGTGGACAACAGAGAGAAAAAAGGCTCCAAAGGAATTCTAACCAACTAGAAGAGGTAAACTGGGGCAGTACAAGTATGTGGTCGTGCTCTTAGAAGTGTGTTACTGTAAATGAAAAGCACAGTTAAAGAAAAAATATTGGAAATGAATTCAGTATAGGGCTGAATGATATGGGAAAAATATCTAATTGTGATATTTCTAACAAGCATTGAAACTGCAATTAGAGTTGTGATTTATTTTATGTTTATACAGATCTAATGTACAGGGTTAGTAGTTTGTATGCAGAATAAGGATATTTTGCTGTTGAAAATTATGATACTTCAAAGATTGCGGTCTTGAGTAATACGAGAATTTATGATATATGATGCTACCCTATATTTAAGTTTCAATACGATATGTTGCTCCATCCTTTCATTTTCCATTTCATTCTATAAAACAAAATATGTAATCATTTTGTTTTGGTTTGAGTTGAGTTGAAACTCAATTTTGCCAACTAAATTAGAAAGTAAATAAGATAGTAACAGTACATTCAACCTGGCATGGGATGATATTAAAATCTGAGGTCACAATTATCATGGCCAATTACCCTTTTTTATTATTGTCCCATCCATACATCCATTATATACTTTATTTACTTCAGATATCATGCATCCTGAGAACAGTGGCTTTGTTACTAAAGTGTCCCCCAAATTCAAACCCCAACACTTCCAGCACCTCACATTTCAAGTCTGCGTACTCACTTATTTTTTCATTAATTTTACTTAGGCAAATATTTGGACAATACCCAGACTTGACAATAAATCCACCGATGGAAACAAAACAACATGAGGCATCTTTTTAATTCTAGTGGGTTTCGTCTGGAGCCCGGGGACCAAATGCTTACAGTGCAGTCTAATGAACAGAGGGAGCTGTGAAGGCATTTACAAAGCACGCCTCCTCGCGGTAATGTGCCACTTCATTACATTTTGTGACAGAGGAGGCTGCCGGCACTGGGCATTTCTTCTTCTCGTCGACTCACTCAGCTCAATTTGAGAGGATACGGGTTACATAAATACCGGGCCCGGTCTTCATATGTTTGAGTACGAAAGCTTTCCCACTCAGCAGCAACCCATCACACAGAGACAACTGAATAATGTAGTACACCTATCATACCTACCAAATGTATCTACTTCATAAAATACATTAGAAGTACTGGGTCCACAAATATACATGACTAGTCTAAAAAGTTTGCCAGACCAGCCAGTGCCTCTTATAATCTGTTTGAATCCATAAATGTCTGGAATTGGACCAAAGAAAGTGAAAAACCTTCATCCTAACTTGGGCTGATCCAACCACAGGCACTAATTTGTATCCAAGTGAAGAAGACATCTCCTCTTGAAAACTCTTGCATCATTTTACCCAAGATAAATACGAGTTTTCTCTGATTGGTTAATCCGCCTGTAAATCACACCCACCAGAAAATATAAATTTAAACTGGGGGCTAGGACTTTTCCAGGCATGAATCTTACCCTACTTTGCAAGCTTGATGCTCAGAGTTTAGAAAGTGTTGATTTGACTAAGTGGTTCAGGATGAACAGAGACAGAGCTGCGGTGCTTTTGTAAGTGGATGAGTTTTAAGTTTAGTGACAGCAAAAAGCCTAATTAGCAACACTTGTTAGCAACATTCTGTCACGCTCAGTCCAAACTTTCTACATAATAATTTCACCTTAGTTTTTTTTTTTTTTTACATAGTCCTTGATAATTGATTTTGTGTCTTGCCCAAGGACACAATAGGAGTATGGAATGTCTATTACAGGAATAGAACCTCCAAAATTCATGCTCCACGATAAAAGGATGTTACTTTGTCTTCACAGGATCCTAACTAAATAAATAATGATTAAAAGGTTCTGACCTGTAGAAGTAGGAGCATCCCCGGACTGTGTTGTGTGTGAAATGCTCTTGGCTCTTTTCGTTTCCGAAGTCCTCGAGGGGGTCAGACCACAGCAGGTCGCACATGGGCCCATAAGCTGGAGGCTCTTTGAATCTGTCTAACTGCGGAGACATGAAAACACAACTGTCAAACCAGGAGGCGACAACTACTACAGCTTACATTTGTTCTTTAACTACTAGGGTTGTCACGATACTAAAATTTCAAATTTGATACTAAGAAATAGACTCAATACTCAATTATAATAAAAAGGCAATAGAATTTATCCAGTGGAATGTGATTTTCACAGGCGTATACTAGTCTATGTGTTTTATACTACTTCTGACACAGCTCAAGATTATTTTAAAGATATTCAGGAAAGGTTCAGTGACTTTGTCTTTTTTCTGATACTGTTTTTTGTATCGCTTAGCATCTAATTTTTGATACTTATTACCAACTATTATTACTAACAGTTATAATTATTAATACAAAGCGATTATTACCAATTAAACTACAAAGTGTTACCAACATTTATTATTAGAAATTAGCTTTTAAATGGCTATTAATATATGACTATATCATTACCTTGGCCAATGCTATTTCAAAAATCCAGAGCAGCCGTAAAATGACTATAATCTACTGCATAATAAAAGTATAACAAGACATCCACAAGCCTGTTTTACTACTGACCTAAAATGGATCAGTGTAATCCCATTTTGTGCATAGCCCTCTAAAATAAAGCTCTAAATCTTTCCTTTTCTAAGCAGGTGGCCAGCCCACACAAACGCTCAGCCTAAACTGGAGATTTAAAGTGCACTATGTAACTTATCTGGTGGAGGGTGCATCAAATGTCATTGCTCTGCCTGAAATGTTCCACACTATGACATTAAGCAGCTCTACCTAACATTTATTACATTAAGTGAGCTCTAAAATACCTAGAAATATAGGCATTCTAACTGTGAGCGGGGTCGCCTCTCCACAGATCTAACCTGTAACTTCGTCTGGGTTTTACTGTGAAACATTCCAGACAAAGCAGTAACATCTCAGAAAAGCATAACCAGAAAAGTTACACAAAACACCTTTAAGGTCAATACCTTATACACCAATATATTTGTCCATATGTATTATTATTATTATTATTACCACCAACTATTACTAAACTATTACTTTTCATTCATTTTTGTTAACTAAATAACTTCTTATACAAACACCTCAAGTTTCTTTTTTATTCAAGTTGGAATATGACGGAAAATGTGGCCAGATGAGGTGTCAGAAATAGTATTTGTTCATTGTCAAAGTATAAAAAAAATCTATTACACCTTTCTTTTGGAGTAAAATGGTTGTGCATGCTGCCAACTTGAGCTGCATCTCAAACAAAAAACAGTGAAGTACAGGATGGCCAGAGTGACGGACACTTCAGTAGATCAAATTCTATTATGCATGGACTCTGATTGCAACCATAAAATCCAATTGGAATTATTGAATTAGCCCGAACGCGGGATCCCACCCTCCCATGTTTTTAATCAGATCCAGAGAACAGACCAAGGATAATGTGGCAAAGTTCCACAGTATCTGAAACAAGAATTGTCACTATGGTAAAAAGTTCATGAATAGTTCTGATCCCCATGTATAAAAAATAGCATTAACTTCTTAAAGGTGCGCTATGCAGAGGTGGGACCAAGTCGTTGTTTTGCAAGTCTCAAGTCTTTGACCTCAAGTCCAAGTCAAATCCCAAGTCAAATACAGGCAAGTCAAAGTCAAGTCTCGAGTCACTGGCCCATAAAGTCCAAGTCGAGACCAAGTCATCTGCCTTCAGCTTCAAGTCAGTTCAAGTCTTTAAACAAAAATACCAAATATAGCTTAGATTTTTCAATTTATAAATTTTAAGCTAAACTGTACTTAAAAAGTCACGGTATATTTATATATGAGTATTTAAGAGCTGCAGAAATGCAAATTTTTCCTTTTAAAATGTCTTGACAAGATCTAGGTGTGAATCATTACAGTCCAAACAAAAATAATTAAGATTTAAAAGTGATAAATAACAGTTATTTTGTCATGACATCTGCACTAAAATGGAAGGATCATGTTCTATGTAGTTCCCTCTGTTTTTCTGTATTGTACTGTATATTACTGTAGTACATTTGAGGATACCACATCACTGTACTTCAGTTAGATCCAAAGTAACAAACAGAGCAGTGGGAGAGACATGTTCCAGTTTGTTCCTGTAAAATTCAGCAACACATGTATCAACTGTAAAGCGAAAAGTATTTTCTAATACTTTTTACTATTTTCTTTCCATTTTTTTTTTTTTTTTTTTAGTTTTAAGTCTGAGTCAAGTTCCAAGTCATTAACCTTTAAGTCCAAGTTGATTCCCAAGTCTTAGTCCATTTTATCAAGTCAAGTCTCATGTCCTAAAAATAGTGACTCAAGTCTGACTCAAGTCCAAGTCACGACTTTCAAGTCTCCACCTCTGGTACAATGTAACTTTTCTGGTGGGGGATCTGGCACCTGCTGGTCTCCATGGAGATCTCTGTTTGCTTTACTGTATGGCATTAAACATATTGTGCATTTTATAGGACTTTTTATAGCTAAAAATACCATGAAAAATAAGTATTCTTACTCTTACTGTGGTTTGTTTCTCCACAGATGAGAATAACTTTAGCCCTGGTGGTGTCAACTGCTTGTTTCCTTGAAGATAGATAAATGTAATGCCTTGCTTTGAAACATCCCATTCAAAATAATAATATCTTTATGGAGACAAGCAGATGGCGTACCTTCCAGCAGAGAAGTAGCACTGGGCACTTTTGATATTTTTTTTCTTTTTTATTCCACCCACTAATCTGTTTCTTTCACTTCACTTTAATAGTCATTTGTTTTAGAAGCTGTCATTTCAAACCGTCAACGGCCAGCTACAGTTAAAACCCAAATTTGAGCTTGTTTTATGAAATTCTCGTGAAAAATGTCTCACATACTTTCCTGATGTCGTCGAGATTTGTGATTTCTGGAGACAGGCCCCCGTGTACACAGAGGAACTGCTGGTTCATAAGTGCAGCCAGGGGAAGGCAGTCGAAGGCATCCATACATGCGTCATACACTTGCTCCGAATACTTAATTCTACCTGTCATGTGGGAAAGAGAGATGGCGAGAGAGAGATGGAGAATAGAGAGAGAGAGAATTGGAGAGAGAGAGAGATGGAGGGGGAGGAGAGGGCCGGGTCTGTCATCAGTGCCAAGTCAAACAACTGCAGTCTCATATACCGGGCTAATGTGCCCCTACAGGATGAGAAGAGGTCAGAAAATATCCCAAATGTGTTTAACCAGAACGATTTCACATGATTTTACTTCCAGCCATTCTCAAACTAAACAAAAGAGCAGAAGTGGGTGGGGCAGACGCAAGTAAGTACTCAGGCGCAGTATGGGATGATAAGAGCAATATTTTTTGATAAGTTTAAGTATTATTTTAAAAGACTTCCAAAGCAAATTTTGTCTCCTCAAAAAAATCCAAATTTAAATTCAGTAATTATTTGAAGTAACAGGTAAGGAAATGACAACATGTTTAAAGTGAGTCAAATCTATTACTCAAGTAAAATGCAATTAAAAAATACATAATTAACATAACGTAACAGAATTTTCAGAAAGCTGGGAGTTATTTACTCAGTACTATTTTAAATCATCTGTATCTTGTAATTCAAATGATCGGGGATGATCTTTATTTTAAGCAAATCTCTTAAGGTACCAGGGTAAATAAAGGCAGCGGTAACATTTTTTTGTGTACATATGAAAGAAAAAAGAATGAGTCTTGTTAGTGGCACCTCTCAATAGATCTGAATGAAATGCTTTTACAGAAAATAACTCGATTGGAAATGTCACAGACTGCATTTGTGTGAAAAATCAAAGACACAGGAGGCAGAGGACAAAGCAAAATGGATACTTACATTCTTGCTTAAATGTGAAATACTCTGTTAAATGTCTACATTCATGATTCCCACGCAGCAAAAACAGTGTTTTGGGGTAAAGGATCTTTAAGGCCCACAAGTACAGCACACACTGCAACACAAAACAGACAAGGATTTAAGGACACTCGTCAAGGAACATCAAAAAGACATAAAATAAAGTCAGTAATGTATCAGTTTGTACTGCATTTAAAAAGAGATTCAAATCACACTTTTATATAGCAACAAAGTTAATTTGTTAAATAATTAAAAGGCCTTCGGTAACTTTTCTTGTAGAGGGTCTGCCATTTTCTCTGTAAAGAATTAAAACTCTTGTATTTATTCAGTATTCAGTATGTCCAAATAATTTCCCTTGTGGATCAATAAAGTTTGTCTAAGTCTAAATCCAAGTCTAATAAATTCAAGAGCTTTGTATTGCGCTTTTACAGGGTCACCCCTCCATTGATCTGACTGGGCTGGCTGGTGTTTGCGTGTCTCCTGGGTGACTGAAGTATAATCTCATACTGTGAAACATTGCAGACAAAGCAATAGCATCCCAATGGAGACGAGCAGGAGGCAGACGCTCCACTAGAAAAGTTACAAAGTGAACCTTTAAGAGAGACCATAGATTTTGTCTTGTTTTGGTAAAGTTTGACTAAGACATTTCCAAACAAGATTAAAATGCAAAATCACGACCAAGTCCAATGAATATGAATGTAGTTAAATTTGGAGAAATATTTTGGTGATATTATTTGCAATCCTTCCTCTAACTTTATGTAGCTTGCGGACATGATTTTCAATAATCATTCTCATTTTAAATACTTAATTAACTAAAGTATCATATTTCCACACAAAAATGACTGAAATTAAGAGTAAAATTCACTGCGGCCTAGATTCCAGGCGAATTCTTATGCTAATATTAAAACACACTTCCTACATAACCCCAGGCTACTGTGTGACATTTTCTAGGCTATATTTCGAGTTATTACAAAAGCCCATTACCTCTCCAATAGTTTTCTGCCTGATTTAATCTAAGCTCAGAGAAAGAATCTATTAATAAACACTGCTTTGGCACATGTCACAGTGGATCAGGCTCAAAAGACACAAAACCAAAATGGACTTACTTCAATACTGAAATACCCTCTGTCTACGTAGTCCCCAAGGAAAAGGTAGCGCGTGGATGCTGGCGATCCTCCCACTTCAAACAGCTTCATCAAGTCAAAGAACTGCCCATGGATGTCTCCGCACACTGGGAAATAAGACAAGCATGTCAGCTCAATATAGCCTATTTTTGCACATTTATAAAGAGGTTTCAACGCAGAGAAGACAATAAAGACAGTTCACACAGCTTGTTTGGTACAGATGAGTGGTTTAGATCGGTTTGTTTCAATTAGTCTTTTTCATATACATAGTTGGCCATTTTAGGCCAGGTTAAATCAGACCCTGTAGCAACTGATAATGTAATAACAGCCAATAATGTAATGACTTGAGTGAGCTAATAACACCTTACCAAACGCCTTACCAAAAATGTAATACTAAACTTTTGGCTGGGAATTACATTATTGGCTGGATAAGGGGGGGAAATGCCATAATGTAATAACTGCAGCCAATGATGTAATACTTCAAAATTATTGCACTTTAACTCTTCGCTTGTTAATTTTTGAGAGTGGGTGGGTGTTGGAGCAGTTAGGAAGGAAATACACATTTTGCATGGATAGCATATTTGCTGGTTTAAATCCTGGTCCAGTCCTGGTTTAAATTTTGGTTGAGTCCTGGTCCAGTCCTAGCAAGGCTGGCGCCACCTAGTGCCTATGCTCAATTTAATTTCACTCCAGTGACTAGGTCAGGAATCAAAATACACTAGACGGTTCGCAAAAACCCTGGAAGTGCAAGTTCGGGCACCAGCCAATCATACAATAATACATTCAGTATTGTCAACGATTCCCGAGATCGAGGATTTAAAGTCAGAACAAAGAGAATGTTTGGTGAATTTTATCAAGGGGAAAGACGTTATTGCCCTTCTTTCTACGAGATTTGGGAAAAGCTTAATATACCAGTTAGCCCAGTTAGCAGTGCATTACAAACAGCAGCAATTGGTTAAATAAAAAAAGTACCCGCCTACTATCGAGCAAACGATTTCCAACGCTGTGAGGACAGATGTTTTGTACGAAGTGAAACCGACTGATGAATCAGGCTAGTCCAGTCCTGGTTCATTCTTTTCCAATCTTGGTTCAATCCTGGTCCAGTCTTGATTTAAATAAATGTATTGATGTTTAGTTCTGTTAGTTTTGTTAAAAGACTGGGTATGACACTACTATGCGGTATTAATTGCTAACACATATTTAGATCGCCACGTTACCTTTTATTCTTTTGAAATTGCTATACAGACGGAAAACAAATTTAAAATGTTTAATTCGTTTCAATTTAGTTTTTGAAGCTGAGTCATCCTTAGTCACTCCCCGTTCAGAGCACTATCAGCATGCATCCCGCTAATGAAACTACTGCACAATACATCAGATTTGTGAAGTTGTAGTGTATTGCTTCGTATCATGCTTTTGTACATTTATGCTATATGTGACATTGCAAGATTACTCACACATTTCTTAAAAACGTCTTCAGCATGTTTTTGGTGAAAGAACATTATAACATAGAAAGCTTCAAAAAGTTGACTTTACTTTATCTTTAATTACAGTTGGGCTTTGAATTCAGTGAGCTCTTGTACCTAGAAAACACTATTTTCTATTATGAAACTGGTATTGGACATCACATACTGTACATAAAACTGTTTTGCTTTTTGCGGATAATTAATCTAAACCATCATATACACTGACACTTTACTTTCTCAGGTTTGTATATATAGCACCTTCATCGATGCAAGAAGTACAGTGTACAGTGAACATGATAATAAATAACACTGTAAATGACATTAGAGCTAGTCACACTGCATGATTTTTATTCCCTGGAGAACCTGAGACATCTGCTTCTTCACTTCATTTCACAACGGTGACAGTAGAAGCAAATTATATATGCATGGGATTCCGATTGAACACCAACTCGTACAGACACAATGAAAAGATATAACCAAGGATAATAATTGAGTTTTAAAAATATCATATCACATTTATTTATTATGCAATCAGGTCAGCCAAAATGAAAACAATGGGAGATTATGCAGATTAATTACTGCAAGTATAGAAATCCAAACTTTAATTTTGATTGTTCGCAGGGTTGCCTCTCCACAGAAACTTCGGCTGGCTATGCAGATAAATCCGTTTAATGCCTTATGGTGGAGCAAAGCAATAATATCGCCATGGAGACAAGCAAGTGGGTACACCTAGGCCTGTCACAATAAATACTATACTGACTAATTGCTCAATATATGACAGATGGAACAATACATTTTTGGAGTATTTATCAGGTGTACATTTTCTTTGCACCATTGGGAAGTTTTTAGTTATTTTTTGGCTACATAATGCGATTTAAGCCATAAAAAGCTTGAATTAATAACTTATGACTCATTACAGATGCTGTTTATTTATTGCAGCTCATGATTTTTTAACAATATTTCTATACAAGATTCTATATTACACAAAATTGATTCTTGTGCACTTTAAGTCATGTTATAATGTTGTTACCTCATCAAAAACAGATCTAGAGTTGTGTTTTGTTTACATGTTTGAGTAACATTTTATTATTAGTCTGTCTGCATCTCCAAAGCTAAAAATACTCTGTTGCACCCTGTGATGTCATTAAGCGGTAGTTTAACAGAAAACTTTTACCCTTAAGTTTAAGTAGATGCTGTTTATTTATTGCGGCACATGATTTTTATCAATTTTGCACATTTAGAATTGTTTTTGTGGCTTAAATCTGCAATAAAATTATTGTGTTTAGTTTCAATTTAATGTTTAAAGTCTATATTTACTTCATCTATGTATTGCACTATATAAAATGTGTTATCATGACAGAAAAACCTTAAACTGAACAGTCTGTAGTGGTCTGCTCAAAGTTAGAAAAGCAGAGTAATGGAAACTCACATGAGCTGTCATAATTTTGAGGTGTCCACTAAAGCCCAGTTTCATGTTTAACAAATGGCACTTTGCGCACACTGAGGTACCAGCACCACCTTCTTTCTGGTGGAGCAAAGCTAAAGCTGCAGACTTGTAATAAAGAGTTCAAACACAGCCTTGTGTATCCACGCCCACGGTCAGGTGTCCGGGCAAAAGTCTGCCTTCAAACTCCAGCAAAGGCCAAGAGTCAATGCTATAAACTGGGCTATGCTAACTATGCTAACATGCGGGTTTATTGGCAACACTTAATAACAAATAAAACAGAAAACACACTCTAAAGTTCTCATAGACGTGCAAATGCAAGGAACAGTAAAATAAAAGTGACACTTAATAACAACCACACAAAGATTGCATTCATAATGAACATATTCAGGCTGTCTTAATACTAGGGATGTAACAATAACCGGAATATCGTGATATTGTATTGTTAAAGTTCTCACAATAATATCGTGGACCATCACAATATATCGAATTACAAGTCTCTTTGCTTAAATGAAGAGTTATGGTGCAGCAATAGCTAAAAAAAAAGACAGAGGGAACTACGTAGACCATGATCCTTTGCTCCATTTCAGTGCAGACTACAAGAAGAAATAACAGTTCTAAGCACTTTTAAGACTTAGTTCTTTGGATTAAGTCTTGTCAAGACATTTTAAGAGGAAAAAGTCACATATTAACAGATTTGTTTGCCTCCACAAAATATCGCAATAGATATTGTACTGTGAGATGTATATCATGGAAATATCGTACAGAGAGATTTGGATATTGTTACATTCCTAATCGCAAGCTTCCCCATCATATCGTGAACTTTCCCATGATATCGCAATAAAAAGGTTCATACCGTGACGATATCGTATCGTGAGACTAGGATATCGTTACACTCCTGCTTAATACTTAATACAGTAGCTCCAAACTCATTAATTAAATAGTTACGAAGAATGAAAAATTCTTAACAAAGAATTTGTTCATTAAAAATAAAGTCTCTATTCAATTTCACTAATTACAGTTTAATTATTAGTAAGATCTCTCTAGTGATTATGAACTGTAACAATAAATACAAATAAACAATGAATAATAGTAAACAGTAGGCTAGTTAAGAGTACAGAAAAATCATATTAAATTGTATACAAAATATACTGAACATGAGTTAATGCTGGTTTAGATCCATTCTGTCTTGTTTATTGGTAGAGCGTGATCAAGCAGAAAAGTAAAAGTGCTTAAATCAGCTCATTATAAATCTTTGAGTTAGCCTTTTAGTGGTTTTATTTATTGCTTTATTTATTGCACTGTAAGAATTGAGTAGCCTTAGTGTACTTACTGATACACTTCGAGTACACTTAGATCTAGTATTGTATCGGATTGAATAAAAATAATAATAATAATTGTATCAGAAACACACTAGTTTAGACCTCGGTTAGATGCTTCTTCACTGATGATTGAGTTCTGTTCTTTTATTACATTCACCATACATAACATAATAGATCTAGAGTGAAGATGAGACCTCTGATCTCTATAGTGCCTGTGTGGCCATGGTTCCTATCTCCTTCAGCTGATAGAGAAGAGGATGATGGGAACTGGACTGCAGAGGGTTTCTTGCTCTCACCACATCCTCTGCACAGATGTGTCCATGCCAAGTGCACTAAAAGTTCACGGACTCGCACTACTGGAGCGCTCTCAGCTGCACCATTCGTACACTCCGAGCAACATCTGGCTTTTTATAGTCATTTCAAACAGATAATTGCTAACAAGCTGCACTGGACTTCAAGATTACGTCATGCTATTGTTTTAGGGCATGCTAGCTCTGGAATGAGGCACTCCAAATTGTAAAACGATATACAAAAATGTTTTGAAAAATGTGCAGATGAGATTTACTACGTCTATAAAGACTGTGTTGGTACTTTTTCATTTGGTAGTATTCAGAATATAGTTATAGTCAAAGGAATTCCTATATAGAATAGATAGGGATAGAGCTGGGTATTATTAAGAATTTACCGATATGATAAATACCTCAATACTTAGGCCATGATACGATACATATCTCGATACAGTGCACTTTCAATTTGATATATTTCAAATAGATTCGATACAGTTCAATAAAAATAAAGGCTAAATCATGGCTGTGATACTAAAAGTCTTAGTTAAACCACCTGTGTAAAGTGAATATGAAACACAAACATTTTAATAT